TTATCATTAACTACTTCTAACTACTAATAGCTGAAGACGCAACTATTCAGGAACTGAACAAGAATATCTGCGGATATGCTCTGCTATTTCCAACTGTACCTTTCAAGAGCTCTACTTGCCTCACCGACCACCGACTCTTAGTTTGAACAATTTCAGTCGAACGATCCACTCAAAACAAAACTCACGCAGCTACCAGAAAAAGAAATTCACTTCAGATTCAGACGAACATGAGAGAAGATTTGAAAATCTACGTGATGGACAACCCACAAAACCAATACTACGGCATCTATATATGGTATTTACCGGAAGCAGGCTCGATATTTGGATGACACCCGACGGTATCTTACGCGTCAGAAAACTTCTTTTATGACCAATGGCCTTAAAGTTCATTTTCTTTTCGAATTCTTACATCTACTTAAGAGTATTTGGAATAGTTCACTAAAATGATTTCTTAATAGATGGATTCTGAGGTTTAGAAAAGATAAAGACACAGAAGCGTGAAATTCGTAGAACAATACAAACTTTACTATGATCCGCGTGAGACTTCAAAGAGAGTAAAATTGCGGATGTTTCTTCTCTATTATTAGCTTATGGAGCCATTTTTTAATAGTTTGAAATCAAAAATCTATTGGACTTGCACATAATAATGCAACTCTTGTATAGAGAACCAATAGAAAGAATAGAACTGAGTTGCTATCAGTTGCCGTGCAAGGTGCAAAAATTGTAGAAATCAGGATCAAATAAAACGCCGTTTTATTTGCTAGATAACTTTTGCGAGAACTAATAAACATTTGAGGCTTGATTTTTGCACACTTTTCAAAATTAAGAAAAGTCATATTTCCACAAAGCTTCAAGTTCGGATACTCAATTGTATATAAATATGTAGCGGCACATGAGTAGAGGACAATTCAAATCATGTTGTTGTTTTGCCTCGGAGTATCAACATCGTTAGAACATCAGTAATGTAAGAACAAATAGACTCTGGGCAAAACAATGTCGCCGCTACGCATAACCGTTGAACAAAGACGAATTTGAATCTTCCGACTTCCCTCCGGACCAGTATAAATAAACCGACGCAACCGAAAAGAGTTATGTATCTTTCTATTTCGACGTGCTATCTACGTGTTATCGACGAGCATTTATCGAGTATTTATCCGTGATTTTATTTTGCGATTTATACTCTGTACTAACGATTCAGCAATTATAGGCTGTATATTAATTTATTATTTTTAAATATATTCGACGGTTACGACAACAAACGATAACCTCCAATAAATATCACGGTTAAACATCCTATATACCTGTCCTTTACAAAATAAACGCGATCATAACGTGACCAGTTTTTCAGTCTCACTCTCGAGTGATCTTAATAACGATCGATACATAGTCTTAGCGAATCAGATAGTATCGAGCGTCTTAGCGAACATTCTCTGTATCTATTATTTTAAAATATATTTGACGATTTTCAATATCAAGATATCTCGTCACTTAAAACACACTACTAATCATTTTCTACAACCGCGTGACACGGGTCACTGGGTATGCGTAATAGCATTTTCCCCTCCTTGTGAAAAAATAGGTAATATGTATAAGATACAGACAGAGTGCCGAGTCGAATTGGTAAAACGGTCAACGTGAAAATTCATATGTGACTCAGGCATAAACAACCAAAAAGAGCAGCAAAACACACGTTCTCAGAACAACAGGAGCTGAATCTTAGTTCAAGATCCAGAACACAAAAGTCAATTCAACCAAGAAGAAACCATCGTGCAAATGGAAGAATAGCCTGCTGTTCGCCCATTCAACCGATGAAAATATCAGTAACTGATACCAAATGTCAAGAAAATCAAAAAATCAAATGAAGGTACTCTAACCTATGAACGGCAATCGGAATTTGAAATAGATATATCGCTAAAAAAGTAAAAGCAAACACAAAGAAATTCGTTTCGAGAGATTCCTGTAGCGCTTAATTTTTTTGTCAGTAATATACTACGTTATTTCCTAACATTTGAGATCGTATTTCAACTAAAATATATAGTTCTAGCATTTAGTTTTGGAAAGTGTAGCACATTGCTTCTATTTTCATATTCAAAACTGGCAATCCTTTTCTCTCACATCGAAAATCGAGGAAAACACCGCAATAGGAATGAGCCGTTGCATTCGACTGTCTGTGATGATGATTCTCGGAAAAAGAGGGATTTTCCTTCATTACTGGGACTCGATATGTTTATTGGGAAATACAGGAATGAAATACTCGATCCAATTGTAAAATCTGCTTTCTGACGCTCACTGTATTATTGGAAGGAAAGGGAGGAAACTCCAGACCATAAAAAATGGAAGGAAACAGATGCTTATGAATGTCCTGTCAACCACGGAAGTGTAAATCCTGTCAACCGCGGAAGTGTAACGTTAATTCATATCAGAGGCCGGATGTGTGCAGGTTTCACCGCATACCCTCAATTACCCGAGAGACCCACCATAAACTTAAACTTTTTAAGTTTATTATTTCTGTAAGTGTTATCTGTTTATGGGTGGTCCTTAAAACATCCTTAGGTTGTTATACGTCCTTACTAATTACGGGGAAAGCAGGTAGTTACTTAATGGGAAAAACCCAATACTTGACTAACGAAAAAGCTGGGTTTTCCCATAAACAATATTACCTACTAGCCACGTTTATTAACGTAGCCTATAACCAAATGGCATCGTGGATCGTTACCCTCATTTTTCCTAATGGAAGGTGCGAACAGCGAATCCGCATTGTTAACTAAAAAGCTTTCCTCCGTAATGAGACAAGGACACCTGGGGAGAAATAGACAAAACCCACGAACAGTGAACATCTCTCCAATTATTGTCAACCTATGTTAGTAAATAAAGTTGGTTAGAAGATAAAAACAGTAATTGTGTTACAACTCAACCTTCTTGTTTCATCAACCAACCCTTAAGTTTACGTGACAGGAAAAACGTGCAGGAAAATTAAGGGTAGACGCCGTGACTGAAATGTTTTTGCTTTCAGAAAGATTACATAGCGTGAAATACGTGAATCATATCGATGCAAAGGCATTTAAAACATTAAGCGCGAAGCTGATTTTGATGTGCTGTCCGTTCAAGCAGTGTGCAAACGTTGCCGCAGGAGATGCGAGTTAAAGTATAAGCAGACGATAATACACACATCGCGGTGACGATTTAGTTTCATTTTATACAAATTACAAACGGAAAATTAAGAGATGGGGAACTCATTTCAAGTGTGAAAATGAAGTTAACAGAGCAGTGAAGTTATTTATCAAAAGTTTACTAGAAGCATCCAGCAGAATTCTTCGCTGGCGGAATGAAGAAACTTGTCACAAGTTGCCAAGTATGGATTGATGCAAATGGCAATTATGTCGAAAAATAATTAACATATTTTATAGGTAATGAATTGAATTTTCATTTCCTTTCTGTTTCATTTCAGTCAATCGACGTAGTTCCCATTAAGAACAGAACTGCGGCTTCGTATCTCGGGAAATAATGTAAATAAGAATTGTTTGTGTTATTCGATGATTTCGTTAAACGAAATAATGGCATCCATATATCTTTTGTGCGTTCATATCTACAAAAAGCTAATTACACACATTAAAGGAAAGGGTTTAAAACAGGCGGATTTTTCGGTGGCATTCTTATACTACAATATAAATTTACATAACAATAAGCATAGTTAATAACTATATCAGAACAATATATATAAACAATATATACATACGTTCACCGCGGAAAGTATGCTCACATCCTACAATATGACCTGTTTGATGAGAGATTCGGAGGTAAACGAAAGGCTCGTCCTTCCGAATCGGTTCTTTCTTGTTATTATTCTTTTTTTTTTTTTTTCTTTATTTATCAATCAGTCAAAACTCGTGCTTTGTAAGCAACAGTAGTGTAACCGATGTCGTAACGTTTCATATCATATACAAAAGTATTAACCTATTTATGTCGAAAAACTGTTAGTTTAGATTATATCCTATGTTTAATTTGTTGTATGATAGATAAGCATAGGACACGAAGCGGTATTGTGTTTATGCTGAAACATACAAAAGACAAGAAGAACGTAAACACAAGAGTACCGTTTCGCGTCCTTACCTGGCTTTCATACGACGAATTTAAATTAAGATACCTGGTGAACTAACAGTTCCTTTTAATCTTTTCATAAGAAATACAAAGATAGATCGATGAATGTATTAAAAAATATATGGTTCCATTTACAAAAATGAAGTTGAAATGGGACCCTACTACTGGATCTACAAAAAAGTAATTTGCACCGTATGTGATATCTTCTTTCGAATCAAACAATTTGTTAATATCACGTGAGATATTCTACCGCTTATTGTTTCGCCATTGGTTAAATATTGAGGTTAGCTTTCTATGTATAATAAATTTCTATGTGTAATAAAATATCTACATATAAAATACATATAAAAATTGAAAGTTTTAGACGATTTAAGTCCATATCTAATTGTAATGACTTGCAACAGAATCTGAGAACTGAGTTTTGTATTTTCTTATTCATAATTTTTGGTTAATAAATAGAAAAGATAACGAATGAATATACTGTATCGCGTTTCTTAAATGAAGCAATGCATTTTGCGATTAAAATGCAGCCATTATAGCAAATAATACAGTAATAGTAGATAATCAGAAAGAAGTAGAGAAAAAACTTACCATAACGGCATGGGAAAGAATTTATGAAGAATTGTGTTATTGGAATAAGCTTCTTTGTGTATCACGAAGTGCATCAGGGAAGGATTCTTAAACAAATTTCGTAAAAAATGACTATCTATCAGATAAATACAATACGAGATTCGAAGAATAATTAATATCAACAAAAACATAATTATTTTATAAGAACATAATATTCAATTATAGAAATAATTATACGTTAAGTTCTGTAATTAGTAACCATTATCGATGACCGACTTTATTCTTGGTTCTCAATAAGAATTATCTTTGATGAAAACATTTTTTATCGGAAGAAAATAAAATAGGAAGAAAGACAACTTTTATATAAAAAAATATAATCAATACGTTTAATTAAAACTAAAACATAATTATGTATATCATCACTCTTACGTTAATATAAATGTATAAATGCAAGTAGTACATTAGAGACGAAAAATATAATAAAAATAAGAAAAAAGAAAAATAAATAAGAAAACTGTATTGGTTTCTACGACTTACTTCCACATGTGGAATAGGACTAGGGACAGAACAAAGTTATTAGACTAAAATAATCCACAGAAAGTTTTTAATTCATAAAATTTAATAAAGTATTTACCCTGAATAAATCCTTTTTATAGAAAATTGCAAGACAACTTTCGAATAACCAGATTTTATATTTTATCTAGCAACTAGCACATCTTACCAATTGCACAAACACTTGCTAAACACAAAAATTGTAACGTTTAAATAGGTAACTATTCTGTAGCACGTCCACACTCCCGCGTTTCGAATATGAAAGACTGTTGAACAATACCGTCCCTAATAACGACAGATTCGTACTGCTTGTTCATTGTCTACACTTCTGGATTCTAAGCGAATCTTGTACGCTGCGCAAATGTTTCTGCGTCGATTACATATGGTTGTCCGAAAAGTGTCTTTGCTTTACAGTCACGTCTTTTACAACAACGCATCTTTATACAAACATAAAACCTAATGTCACAAACGTTGTGATTCTTATCGTGATAAAACAATCTGAATCGTACGTAATTCGATAAAATAATATAAAACGAAAGATGGTGTGCATCTATTATTTGCTTATAAAACGAAACAAATTTTTCGGACCACCTAATATTTCAATTTTACTACAATACAATAACGACTTTACGCTGCTGATTTTTATATAGATATTATCTATCAAAGTGGATAAAATATGTAAATGCAAAATATATTCCATACTATGTAATAATTGTACAAGATTTTACAGAAAATAGTTCATTTAATGATTGTTCTCTCCTTGAAGCATAAGTAATGTTAGAGATATTTGGCAAAAAATGGAGACTATATCTGCAATCGCCACTGAAAACTGCGTAGCTGCTACACACATATACACACAAATATAATGCATGGCATAAACCGCTACAATGCTTATAACTATATCGAAGAAGATACTTCATACGTAACAATTCTTTAACCTCCACATGATCCTGGGGAACAGTGTATACAAAGCCGTATTATACATGTACGATGTATATATACATATTTTGCTCACTGTCAACAATATACAAGAAGGGTTACTTTTACGTATCCCCACAACAATTTTATAAAAGCAATTTTTGTATCGCAATACTTCAGATAGAGGAAGTAATACCAGAATTATACGAGATATTTTGTTGTACGTAACAAATATAGCAGGGACAAATTTAGCAAACAAGAAAAGAAGTTTACATAAATATATATGTCGGGTTTACATTAGAATTAGAGTTAGGGGCGTAAAACGAATCTTCGTTCGGACTACACGATGTCATTATGCAATAGAGAATACATTGACTAGTGCAAATACGATTATTATAGAATTGGACAAGTAACCGTGGTAATTAGATACTCGAGAAACTAATGACAATGATCTTAGGTTCAATAACGAATCCGCGGTCAACGAGATGATAGATGAACATGCTCACAATATCTAAGTCGAACTCTTGGTTAAAACGTGGAATATCCACCGAGGGTACAGACACAAAGTAACTCGCTAATACGACCTCACGAGAGAATGACTTTGCGTCGCGATGATGCTGCGGAGGAAAACTATGATGGGGTGTGTCTAAGGACACGAGATCATCGGATTCGTCGAGGATAGCCTTCGTTCAGAAGGCGAGGGAAATTGGCGCTGCTGCTAATTGGTCAATCTCCATATCGGTGGTTAGAAAAAGATGCTAGCTGCCCTCGAGGGAAAGTTGCTGGTGGGAGACGCCGTTCGTTGAAAAATAGGTCTCTCCTATCTTCCCGTAGTTGGGACAAAGACTGTTTATCTGTTGAAGGATTTTAGGTAAGTAGATATTAGTGTTTATAACGGCCCTCGGGCTAGCTGATCACGTACTACGGAGACGCGTCGGCATCTGGTAACCATCATACTCAAAGAATAGGATCTGCGTGTGGCGAGCCACGGGACAGAAACCGTTGGAATGTTTACTGTCGCATGCCGCTACAAATATTTCTTTTAAGGAGAGCGATATGCCTTTGTTAGACAAAGCGTTCATCCCGTGCCCGCGGCTACGTTCGGCGACTGGCTGTCGCCTCGAGCCCAAGCTCACTATCACAAATCTCAAACAAATACAATCGGATCAAAAGACGACAATTGTTTAATTACGCCTATGATAGAATCTAGATTACGGTGTTAGGGGATTATTTCGAAGTTCCAAAGGGGAGGCTTCGATGCCCTTTCATCTCCGACATACATATGCCGTGATGTGATCTTATTTTCGAGTTATTTATGGTTTATTTTGCTACTATTCACCTTTATCAGTTATAGAGCGATACAGTGAAATCAATTCATAAGTGAGAATTTTTTATTGCATAAAGACGAATAAAAATTTTCTCTATAATGTATCGAATATAATTATTTAGGAAAAAAACGGACGAATAAATGTTCTTTTTAAAGAAAAAATTAATGAATAATGAATAAGAATGAGAATAAAATGTTAAATAATAAATTATTTAAGAAGTTGCCGACAGCTGGAATTCCTAGATATGCTGTAGAAATCAACATTTCCAACAACTTGCTCCTTGGCATTTTATCGCCACTCGATCTTAGTTTCCGAGATATTCGCAAAAACTGTCGGTAACACTACATGTATATTTCTAATAGAGTCGCAAGCATAGCTGACACGTCCGCCGCTTTGTTCGTCGTATTGCCTGGCGATTTGTTTATTTACATTCATTAGACATTGATGTCTTTGTCTTTGAACTCTACTTTCCGAATCCAACAATAATTAATTATTTACAACTGCGTATTCTAGACTGTAAGAATCATTGTTGATATTGGCTGAAATGTATTTAAGTTGTAATAAGAACAATAAAATATAAAGCTCGATATAAACTCTAATTTAAAAGACTTAGATTGTTCTAAACCTAACTCATACCATTAATAATAATAATTTTTATTACGCAGTTCTGCAAGCGGCTATTCGAAGGATCCGTGGAATACTCAAGTTCGCCCAGTCTTCTTTTACATATTGCATGTAAATGGAAGATGACAGTTAGGTTTACATTAGCTTTCTAAATTCGGCCAATTTAAAGTCGTTGACAAACAATACGAACATATCATATACGGTGCTACAGACACACAATTATATGTATCATTCATCGTAGTGGTGGTACCGACAGATTTTTGCAAACATCTCGCAAAGCAAGGCCGAATAATGATAACATGCAAAGGAAGAAGATGTTCAAAACGTCGATTTCTACGATATAATAAAAAATCACCGAAACCCACGCTGCCAGCAGTTTTCTATATAATAATCAAATTTTATTCGTTATTCCTTATTCGACAGACTACCGATTTTAGGATCCTGATGTACAGAGTATCCCAATTGAACCCAATTTATAAATGCGAATTGCTCGTAAATTGCCCGCCGTGTAAGAAATATGTTGAGACAGGAATTTAATGGTTTCGCAGGTGTAATTAGTCTTTCTGTAAATAAACGTATAGGGATCACATTTCCTATAAAAAATGAATATCCTATACATGTAAATTCTGTGGAATTTAGAACACCAACCGACGGTTTGACTTTTCCTGTGTTTACTGCGAGTCGGTCGAACGATATAATTAGAGAATGACGGGTACTTAGGGGGGGGGGGGGAATAAAACAGGATTTATTCGAGAAGCGAAGATGGAGAACAAAGAAAACGAAAAGCAAGTTAAAAGTTAGAAAGAGAAAGAGAAGAGGGATTAGAAGCGGAGTTTTTAGGAGATACGGAAGAAGACTTAAAAAATCGATTCTTGAGTTTTCACGAATCGATTGCCTGATTTCCAAAAATATTGCAGCATTACGAATCGATTTTCTCCACACAATGCCGTTAAAGATTATTCTCCGCATCACCATTAACGAAGACACGAAAGATGAAACAATAGAGTGTATAGAATCCATAAGGAAAATGCAGGATGAAGTGTATTACGTTTAGTTTTGAGAACAACCTTTATGAAGTTTATTTTTCATCCAATTTTTAGGCTCAAACGCGCAAAAGAGTAAATTAACATTAAATTACTTTCCAAGATATACCAGTATAACAGTATATTAGTAGATTTAAATAATAAAAATAGCAGTCTTAAAACAACTTCTCCTGAAACATTGC